TATTTTTCATTTACATTACACAAATCATCAAGTTCCGAGTGCTTCGGGTCATGTCCATTTTTCACTCATTGCACAAATCACCAAGTGTCGAGTGTTGAAACCTGAAACCCGGTACTTCAAATGGACATGAATTGTATTTGTATGTATTATCCATTGGTGTAGGGCTCAAATAACTTGGGAATTGTATTTGTCAGTACTCAGTACTCGGTGCTTGGTACTTGGTACTTGGTACTCAGTGATTGGTACTCGGTGATTGGTGATTGGTGGTCAGTGGTCAGTACTTGAGACTCAGGTAGTCAATATAGGCAAATGATAATGAAAAATGACAGTTGTAGTCCACGTCAAGGTGAGTGTCTTGGTAGTCTTTCCTTGTCATTCGGCAAAACATCAGCAATAATGAAAAAATGAAAGTTGTTATTATGCTTAACTTCCTTACCAAAGGTTGTAATCCAAGTCCAGGTGAGTGTAGTGGTAGTCTTTTCTTGTCAATTGGTTATCTTATTACTCATTACGCAGTACTCGGTACATGGTAATTGGTACTCAGTATTTGGTTGTGATACTCGGTATCCGAGAATCAGTAGTCAGCTTAATGAAGGTTGTAGTCCGAGTCTAGGTGAGTTTATTTGTAGTCTTTTCTCGTCCATTGGTTACCATGTGACCAAGATATAAGCTAAAGAAATCCAAAACATCAATAATGACAAATGAAATACATGTGTGCAGTGAGTGAGTTTAAAGATAAAAGAATGAATATTAATAGCGAGACTTGCACATTATGTCGAGATATACAACATAACAAGCCTGTGATGTGATCATAGACCTGGAATAACACCCATATACATCCATTATAATAGCTTAAAAGCTTAGAAAGATTCATGAAGGATTGATGTAATGATAGGCAAAATGACATATGTGTGGAGAGTGACAATAGACATCTTTTATACAAAGTCACATTTATATATGATTCAGGCTGAAAATATCATTACAAATAACTTTCATTTTTCATTATCGCCGATGTTTCAGATTTCTTTAGCTTATATCTCAGTCAAATGATAACTGATGGACAAGAAAAGACTACCAATACACTCCCCTAGACTCGGACTACAACCTTCAGTAAGGAAGTTAAGCATAATAACAACTTTCATTTTTCATTATCATTTGCCTATATTGACTACCAACCACCAACCACCAACTACCAACTACCAACTACCAACTACTGAGTACCGAGTACTGAGCACTGACAAATACAATTCCCAAGTTATTTGAACCCTACACCAATGGATAATACATACAAATATAGAATTCATGTCCATTTGAAGTACCAGGTTTTGGGTTTTGGCACTCGGCACTTGGTAATTTGTGCAATGAGTAGATGGGCATGTGGCATACATGTTTTTGAGCTTTGGGTTTCAGGATTCGGCCCTCAGCACTCAATGATCTGTGTAATGTAAATGAACAATGAACATGTTGCACACCCAGTTTTGAGTTTCAGGTTTCGGCACTTGAAACTCGGTGATCAGTGCAACAAGTGAAAAATGGAAATGTTGCATACATATTTTCAGGTCTTGGGCTTTCCGGTGAAATTGTGGTCCCAGATGAACCAGGCAACCTCCTGCCAGAATATGATTCTTCTGATGAGGAGATGGATGTTGAGGTGAAGGTTGATTGTCCTGGTGAGAAGGTTGAAATGGCTACATAATTGCTCAGTGATAGATGTACATAAATCTTTTTCAATGCATGTTACCTATGCCACAATTGAATGATTCAATCATTGAGTTCCAATATCCAGAACTAGAAACTGTAGATTGAGGTAGATATCACCCGAAACCCGAACACCCTAACACCTGAATGTCAAATTTCACAGTGCCAAACCCCGAGTGCCGGGTGCCGGGTGCTGAGTCCCAAAACCCAGAACTCAGGACTTGACATTTGAAATGAAACACATTTTTCAGACATGTTTGAATCTGCCTACATATATCCATAAACATTTTACTAACCTCCGAACCCTGACAAATATCTTTGTCCAGTCCCACATATTGAGTCCTGAGTTCCGGGACCCCCGAACCCTGAAACCCAGCAGTCCACAATTTCGGGGTTCGGGGGTTGGTAAAATGTATATGGATATATGGAAGGTTGGTTTAAACATTTTTGAAAGATGTTGCATATGAAATGTCAAGTCCTGAGTTTTGATTTCTGGGTTTTGGGAGTGCCGAGTCCCGAAGCCCAGAGTCCCAAAACCCAGAATTATGTCAAATTTTCAGTGCTGAACCCCAAGTGCCGGGTGCCAGGTGCTGAGTCCCGAAACCCGAAACCTGGAACTCAGGATTTGACATTTGAGATGAACATCATTTTTCAGACATGTTTATATGAACCTACGTATATCTATAAACATTTTACTAACCCCCAAGCCCCGAAATATATTTTTGTTGTCTCACATCCCGAGTTCCAAGTTCCGGGACCCCCGAACCCCGAAACACGGCAGTCCACAATTTCAGGGTTCAGGGGTTGGTAAAATGTGTATGGATATATGGAAGGTTGATTTAAACATTTTTGAAAGATGTTGCATATAAAATGTCAAGTCCCGAGTTTTGATTTCCAGGTTTCGGGAGTGCCGAGTCTCAAAGCCCGGAGTCCTGAAGCCTAGAGTCCCAAAACCTGGAATTCAAAACTCAGGACTTGACATTTGATCAGACATCTTTCAAAAATGTTTAAATCAACCTTTCATATATCCATACACATTTTACCAACCCCCAAACCCCTAAATTGTGGACTGCCAGGTTTTGGGGTTCAGGGGTCCTGGAACTCAGAACTCGGAACTCGGTATGTGAGACAACAAAAATATATTTCAAATATGAGTAAGTCAATGTGTTTGTCAATCAACTTGATTGTAAATCAAATTTTATTGATCTCCCCAAATTTCCCAAGTTCCGAGTTCCAAGTTCCAGGACCCCCGAACCCCGAAACCCAGCAGTCCACAATTTAGGGGTTTGGGGGTTGGTAAGAACTTGGGAAATTTGGGGAGATCAATAAAATTTGATTTACAATCGAGTTTATTGACAAACACGTTGACTTACCCATGTTTGAAATATATTTTGTTCTACATACCGAGTTCCGAGTTCCGGACCCCTGAACCCCAAGACTGCCGGGTCTTGGGGTTCAGGGGTCCGGAACTCGGTATGTAGAACAAAATATATTTCAAACATGGGTAAGTCAATGTGTTTGTCAATAAACTCGATTGTAAATCAAATTTTATTGATTCCCCCAAATTTCCACAAGTTCCGAGTTCCAGACCCCCGAAACCCGAGACTGCTGGGTTTCGGGGTTCGGGGGTCTGGAACTCGGAACTCGGTATGTGTAAACAAAATATATTTCAAACATGGGTAAGTCAACATGTTTGTCAATAAACTTGATTGTAAATCAAATTTTATTGATCTCCCCAAATTTCCCCAAGTTCCAAGTTCCGGGACCCCCGAACCCCAAAACCTGAGACCCGGCAGTCTTGGGTTTCGGGATTCAGGGGTTGGTACGTCTTGGTTTGGTGTTTGGCACTGAAAATTTGACATATATATTTTTGTGAGTGTTGTGCTTCTAGTGTCCATGCTTATAAATAGGATATGTTGCACACCAGGGTTCAGGTATGGGGTTTTTCCACTTCAGTCCTCGATTATTGGTCAATGCCACACATGGTTGATTTATGTTTTTGTGCTTAGGGGTTTAGATTTGGTGGTTGATGGTAGGTATATGCACTCATAGTGTACATGTATCCTACGTGTTTGATTCACTGGTGGCTACATCAGCTGTATGTCTTGATGGAACATATCTAGGCTCACCCATATATGTACCCATCTATGTACAATTCCCCCACGTCAGCCCACCCATCTATGCATTATCCCCCACCTCGGCCCACCCGTCTATGTAATACATCCTATGTTGGCCCACCCATCTATATAATACATCCTACGTCAGCCCACCCATCTATATAATTATACCCCACCTCAGCCCACCTGTCTATGTAATAAATATTTTATCACACCCTCAGCCCACCCATCCATTTGATATCCCTCTCGTCGGCCCACCTGTATATGTAATACTTTTCACGTCGGCCCACTTGTATATGTAATACACCCCACATCAGCCCACCTGTCTATATAATATTCCCCTACCTCGGCCCACCCATATATGTAATACACCCCCGTCGGCCCGCCCATCTATATAACAATATTTGCCTTACATTTCTCTTCAGCCCAGCTATCTATAATATCCTACTCTACATATTACCCAGATGGGCCCACCCATCTCCATGAATGATCATATTCCCCCGGCCCATCCATCAACATCAAGGATATATATATATCATTGGCATACATGGGCCCACCCGTCTCCATCGGAAATAATATGTGTCCTGGCCCATCCATCATCATCGAGAATATACACAACATGGGCCCATGATCTGCTGGCCCGTATAATATGGAATTTGTCACTGAAGGGGCTCGCTCATTGGGCTTATGGAGTACACGAGCCCTCTTAACCTCATCATGAAGAGCATGAATGGTGTCACGGAGGCGGTCGTAAGGCAAAGCGATATCATCAGAAGAGATAGAACCATCACTGGAAGAATCTGAAGTCCTTGTCATAGGGGAGAGGGGGGAGGGGGGGGGGGGGGAAGGTGAACTAAAAGATAGATTGATTGAATTATCATCTGAAGTAGTGGAAAGTGAGTCCTCGGAGTCAGAATCACTCTCAAAGTCAGACCAATTGTCCAGGATATCCTGGTACTGTAGCTTGGCCAGGGAAAGTTCAGCCTGATCTACAATAGCCAGGAGTTCTTTACAGGTGGATAGTTGAGGCATGGTCACAATCAGGGAGTTGAGGGAATCAAAACTCCTATCCATTTGTGTATATGTGACATAGTTTGTGGCAGAGTTTGAAATTTCGGAAAGTTCCGAAGTTTCGTCTCGCAGTGAGCATGCTGATGCCATCATCGACCTCACCATCCAGCCTCAATGCTCACACACAGCACTGAGCAGGACATCAAATTTTCAGGTGTCATCAACCCAAGGTAAGTATTTTTTTTGCCTCCTGTAAGTTCCAGCTAATATATTCACCCTTATCTTACAGGAAATCTATTCTAGTGCCGGTCCCACACATGACCCACAGCGGCTCATCTTTACTGCCAAGCCGCTGGTTCCTCACTACCCCCTACCCCTTCTACACTCCCCTTCTTGAGGGATCCACTCTGCGCTTATTCCAATCCAGCCGGCTCAAGGCATGCTTAGGTTTACCTGTACTATGCCGCCGTACAGCCTAAACCGTCCACGAAAAAGAAGGTGGTTCAAGCCATTGCTGGTTTCATCAAGTCACAGCATGCTACCCATACTGGCATTGTGCATGGCTTCTTGAAGTCGGAGTGTGAGGAACTTGCTGAGCAACTGCGAAATGACTATGGCTTATCTGCCAAACATTACCATGCTGGTATGGGCCCACAAGAGTGCAGCACCACTCAAGATCCATTATCCACTCAACTTGAGGCTCAAGGCTTGAGGCGCAAGGTGCAGCAGCATCCTGGAAAGCAGCTCAAAGGTAGCCGTACTCTCCACAACTATAACATTGTCTTTCACTTTACCTTACATCTCTGCAGATTCATGCAGATCTTTTTCATGTGTCCTCCTCCCCTTGGCACTTATTTAGTCCCTCCAGCATTCACTACCTACAGCTGATTTCATTCTCATGCGGACTCCCTTTTTTTATGAATGTTAACATTTGAAATACAATGTATATCTACTATGGGTTGCTTTTTTTTACTTGATGTATGACTTCCCCCTATGAACATACACTTTGAAAAATCACAAGTGTTTGAATCTCCGACTTCGTGCCGACATGCGCCGAGCATGTTTTGAGCGAGTTGAAACCAACTTTAACCGAGAGTTCAAAGCATGTTAAGCGTGTTAAGCAAGTTTTCAAAACTTTTCAAAACCTATTTTGAGTATCACTAATGGTTAAAAGAAGTAATGATGTGGAATCTTTTCAGTGAATGTAGAACATCTCACGATGGTCGGTGATTGCTGCAAGGGCATGCTGAATACATTCCTCTTCTGTCAATTAGATAAGTTTAACCAAGCTCAACTTGAAGGCTATATTCATTGCTTACCTTCAGAATTGACCTGCTCAGCCCTGGTCCTTGAATCCTCCGGTGAGCTACTTATGGTTTGCGCCCATGATGGCATAGTGTTGGAGTCACAAGCGGTGATGGTAGGATCACCTAGCTCCTCTGTTCTGAATTTCAAAGACTTCGCCATAAACATAGTCTCTATGCTCCTGTGGCACACTTCATCCTCTTTGGAATGAAGAATGTGTTCATCCTCTTGATGTTGATAATATTTTGAGAGCTTGAGAAGAACTCCTACCACCTGCATATTGGTATATGGATCTTGCATCATTTTACTGATACATTTGTGAGCTCTGCAACAGCATATGTGCCACTGTCCTTGGGGTGCAGATGCCATGCTAGTTGTGAATTAAGACCTTTGAAACCCCCAGTGAAAATCAAAAGGTGCATATAAAGGTATCAGTAGAGGCTGTGGATTGATATGTTCATTACGTGCTGTGTTTTGATGCCTTGGGACAAATCTATTGAAGGCAATCATAAACATTAGTGGTAGTCAGAGTGGACGATTTTGAGGTGAATCAGCATCTGATTACAAGACGATTCAGAAATCGAAAATCACGTAAAAATCGCCATCCACTTTGAACACCCCACAACCAGAACAGATTCTCAATGCAATTCTTGTTGGATTTGTAAATTATCATATATGTATGCTAAGCTACCTCACAGGTTATACATGCAATTACCAGATATCTCTTTTGAGCACACCAGTGATGCCGACCGCTGCTACACACACTTAAGATTTGTCCCAAGGCATCAAAACACAGCACGTAATGAACATATCAATCCACAGCCTCTACTGATACCTTTATATGCACCTTTTGATTTTCACTGGGGGTTTCAAAGGTCTTAATTCACAACTAGCATGGCATCTGCACCCCAAGGACAGTGGCACATATGCTGTTGCAGAGCTCACAAATGTATCAGTAAAATGATGCAAGATCCATATACCAATATGCAGGTGGTAGGAGTTCTTCTCAAGCTCTCAAAATATTATCAACATCAAGAGGATGAACACATTCTTCATTCCAAAGAGGATGAAGTGTGCCACAGGAGCATAGAGACTATGTTTATGGCGAAGTCTTTGAAATTCAGAACAGAGGAGCTAGGTGATCCTACCATCACCGCTTGTGACTCCAACACTATGCCATCATGGGCGCAAACCATAAGTAGCTCACCGGAGGATTCAAGGACCAGGGCTGAGCAGGTCAATTCTGAAGGTAAGCAATGAATATAGCCTTCAAGTTGAGCTTGGTTAAACTTATCTAATTGACAGAAGAGGAATGTATTCAGCATGCCCTTGCAGCAATCACCGACCATCGTGAGATGTTCTACATTCACTGAAAAGATTCCACATCATTACTTCTTTTAACCATTAGTGATACTCAAAATAGGTTTTGAAAAGTTTTGAAAACTTGCTTAACACGCTTAACATGCTTTGAACTCTCGGTTAAAGTTGGTTTCAACTCGCTCAAAACATGCTCGGCGCATGTCGGCACGAAGTCGGAGATTCAAACACTTGTGATTTTTCAAAGTGTATGTTCATAGGGGGAAGTCATACATCAAGTAAAAAAAAGCAACCCATAGTAGATATACATTGTATTTCAAATGTTAACATTCATAAAAAAAGGGAGTCCGCATGAGAATGAAATCAGCTGTAGGTAGTGAATGCCGGAGGGACTAAATAAGTGCCAAGGGGAGGAGGACACATGAAAAAGATCTGCATGAATCTGCAGTGGATAATTCTGAGGATGCTGACCTAGCTCGCAAATTTGCTGAGTCATGTACCTGCCCAGAGTGGAAGGGTGGCTTTCTAGCAATTGATGGCTCAACTATGAATCTTTTCACCAAACCTGGTTACTTCGGTGAGACATTTTATGATAGGAAATCCAAATATTCCCTTGGCTGTCAGGTATTTTTTTTTTAATCTTCATGTGCAAAAATTGATTTAATTCTAGGCAGTCATTTTGCCCCATAATCTTCTCATTGTGGATTATTCTCTGGGTCATCCTGGGAGTGTCCATGATGCATTTGCTTTTTGATCTACCCATCTCTATGAAGAGCATGCTGACCTTCTACCTGATGGTCATTGGGTGTGGGCTGACAGTGCATATCCATTGGAGCCATGGTGCATTGCCCCTTTCAAGAAGCCTTGCAGTGGGTGGTTGACTAAGGACCAGAAGACATTTAATTATCATCTCTCTAAGGTATTTTTTTTTGAGGTTTATATTTCAGTAAATTGAATTTTTTAGATCCGTGTTCATGTTGAACACACATTCGCTGTTTTGAAGGGACAGTTCCAGTCCCTTTGAGAGCTCCGGTTCAGAATTCAGGCTGAGAAAGACCTTGAGTTCACTGTGCAGTGGATCAAGTGCTGCATTATCCTACACAACATGATCATTCGCTTTGAAATCAAGCATTGCAAGAGGGATGGGACATATGAGAGCTCTCTAAAGTGGGCTCGTGAAGAGGGGGAAGATTGCATTGACCAAGAGGTTGAGTATCCAGATGGTGAAGAAGTTGTTGGGGACAGGACTTATGAAGGCACTCCAGGACAAGCTGCTAGAGCAAGGCTGATGGATTTACTCTTTGACAGTCCTCACTCAAATGCACACCATAGGGAAGGATGACAACAATAGTACTTGATTAGATATGTACTACTGCCAATGCACTTGTACAGCAAAAGAAAACAAACATAACAATGACAGTAACAACAAAGGGCATAGTAACAACAACACAAATGTAAGCATGATGACAACATCAACAAGTAAGAGACAATGAGCAACAACAAACGGAGACAATGAGCAACAAGTAGAGACAACGAGCAACAAATGGAGACAGCAAGCAACAAATGGAGACAACAAGACAACTCACCCAACTCCTCCATCTAATGCCGCCTTGCTTGCCTGCATCATTTGGTGAAATTGTATCTTGAGTTGCAGAGTCTCCGCTTCCTTGTCAAGGACTTCTGAATGTGCTTGGTGGACATGAATGTCCATCTCACAAAGGCGAATCTCAGTGGCTTTCACCTCTTGCATGCGCTGATGGGTGACAGTGGCTTGCGAGGCCTCATGCTTGCAGCTGGAACGAAGCCACTCATACTTTTTAGTGTCATGACTATGCTCGCTTTTAACCTCGAGCTTTGCAAGGAAGCGAAGGTGTTTGCTGTCATGGCGCAACATCACGTCTGAGTGCATGCTCTCAATCTCGTCTCTCACCTGTCCCACCTGCTGCGACACGTCCGATTTGGCCTTCTTCTTCTTCGAGCTGCCAGCGCTATTTGGCAGGGAGGTCTCAGGCATAGGTGTCGGTGTGTGTGAGGAATGATAGCTAGATGAGAAGGGGTGAAAGGGGAAGAAAGGGTGAAGTGGGGTGAAACTCAAATAAACCTCTGGACGCGAGTATATGATTCGGCCCAAGAGGATTGCTACTGAGAACGATTCCTCTATATAAAGTGGAGGGAAATCACTGAAACTAAAAAGGGTGGTTGAGAATGGATGGAACGCGAATGCGAACACAATGCGATGCGAGTGCGAGCGAGCCGCCATTGACACAGCGTGGAACAAGGTTGAGCAGCCAAAGATACATTAATGCACAATAAAGCGCGGCCGTGCGGGAAGATATGCAGGCGCCGCGAAGTATTAGGAATAACGCGAAAGGCCGATAGTTACGCGCGGTGGTTGACACGAAGTTTAGACTTTTGGTTTGGACAGTAATGCGTGCAAGTGAGTGATGGATTCTATATGGGAGGTAAGAGCTACATGAAATTCGTAAGTACAAGTATATATGAGGACGCGCCGAAGCGCTATTCGGAGCCAAGTAGGTAGCGGCTGTAGGTAATAAGGGCCCATGACGAAAGTAATAGCGATATAAATGAATTAGCATCGGAATTATGGTCAGTCTATTCCAAAACAAGTGAAATACGCACCAATAGACCAGCGGAGGACATGAATAGGACAGGATAAGGATGCACGACGGGGCCGAGTAAAAGCCATTATGGTCCAATATACGCGCACGAGCCGTGGCCGTCGGCCGATAGCAGGAAAGATGCACGCAACACGAGGACCTATGGGACAATGCAAAAATAGCCTTTACAAGGCCACAAGGACTCTAAGTCCTACATCGGGGACATGTGGAAGTCTGACGACGAGTTGCGCGTCATCAATGATGGTGTCGACACGCTGCACGACATCTCCAACGGCAGTCTGCATCAGCTCCCACAGCTTGAGGGCTTCTGCGCCCTAAATGCCGAACGGCTGTTGTATGCTGATGCCGGAGTTTTTGCTGGTACCTCGAACAGTTCTGGAACATTGGGAGGAGGAGATGATGTTGAGGGGAGCTGACACTTCTTCCCCGCAATGGGGGAAGCATCATCGAGTATCATCTTGTCGTCCTCGAGCATCATGTTGTCATCCTCAGCAGGATCCCCCAGGCGCCTATCAAATGAAAAATTATTTTCGGCCTCATCGTCATCTGACGAGAGGCCGGGAAGATGGACTTCGGGAGGGGGATAGGATGGAGCAGGAGGGGGTTGTTGCAGCACCACTGGTGGATACTGGCCGCCAGCAAGTATATTCATGTTAGGAGGTACAGGGGGGGGGTGTGGTGCAGGGGTGCAGGATATGATAAGTTTGGGGGATGTGATGGCTGAATGTTGGGGGGATGCAATGGCTGAATGTTGGGGGGATACGATGGCTGAATGTTGGGGGGATGTGATGGCTGAATGTTGGGGGGATGCAATGGCTGAATGTTGGGGGGATGTGAGGACTGCTGAGTGGCGCCGAAGTATGTAGAGGCACTGGCCCCGCTGTTCGACTGAACAAGGGAATACAGGGCGCCGGCGTGATCAACACCCAGTTTTAACGAGTGTGTGGTCCTGGCCATTGAAGGATTGGAGTGCCAGATGGTATCAAGATCCTTGTACCACAGCAGCTCCAAAAGCGCTGCATCTACAGAATTGATCAGCCAATAACCAAGTAATCGGGACTAAGGACTCACCCAACAGGTTCTTTGCCTGACTCCCTTCAGTTGGCATCACCCCAGTGCCTGTGCTGCCAAATGACGCTTTGACCTTCTTGTATTTTTTCCTGAGACTGAGTAAAATTTAGTATTTTTATTAGTAGAACAAAAAAAACAAAAGGACTTGTGTGGTGATGTGACTGCCAACAGCGTCGTGAAATTTTTTGGAATTAGATGAATATGCGGCACCATACTTGGGGTGATCTGTAAAGATGATCTTGGTGAGACCACCGTAAATTTGCCCCTTGTCTGAGCCCAAAGGGCTATCACCACCAGTAGTGGCCATGGATTTTTTTCCATCTGAATAAAACAAAATCCTGCAATCGGCCAGGTAAGTACTGAGATAATTCATGAGCACGTCAGTAAGTCCATGATCATTGTGCCACTGCACAGTGAACCGGGGTCCAGTTGATTCCCTAGGTGTTTTTGAGCGAGGCAGTCCATCAGATGTTATGTCGTTGTCATCCATTATGGGCGAACGAACGAGAAAGTTCACTGTGAGTCATGCAGAACGACGAGCAGGAGGCATGAAGATTTCAAGCTCCGCTTACCATGCTGGGCTGACCTTCAACAGCCAAACTCTCTGAAACACTTGTAGCCGAGAGTTGAAAGCATGTTAAGCATGTTAAGTGAGTTTTCAAAACCTATTTTGAGTATCACTATTAGTGGGAGTCAAACTTGGCGATTCACGCCTCGATTCTGACTCCGATTTTCGACACGATTCTTCAACCTGAATCGACCATGAATCAATTGTAAGGTTGACTACCCCCGATTCTCATCACTGATTCAACTCGTTTCTCGAATGATTCTCATCTGAGTCGACAGCACTTAAATAATCAAATATATGTAGATAAGTATGCAATGAAATGTCTAGTCACTACTAGTGACATCATGGCTCGCTACACCCCATGTCAGCAATGTGCCCAACGGCTGTTGCAAGACTTTCTCCGATACAAGAAGATCCGCCTGCATTTAGCCCAGCGTCGACGAGCTCGTCAGACCAAACAGCAAATTAACAACTTTGTTACAGAATCCACTCTCTCCGAGTCATCATCTGAGTCACCTACTACTACCAGTACTACTGATTCCACCTCACAGGTATCCAAATCTGACAAGTCCTCAAGCTCCTACTTCTCGGATACCTCAGAATGCACTACCTTCTCAGATCACGAGTCCACTGACAGTGATGCAGATGCTGATTCTGAATTTTCAGAAGACAGTTCTGTGTCGAGTTTTGACTCGGACGAGGAAACTGACGGGGAACCAGTCACCACACACCATCAGGGACAAGTAGCACACCACGTACGACACACCCTACAAGATATCTTTGCACGTCGTTATGATGCAGGTGTGTTTTTACTTGCTTTTGCCATGAGAACTGGGATATCAGTGACGGGCGTCGTTGTTCGTTTGTAGTTTTATTTTCATCATATGTTTTTCATCACTATGTATTTAATTTATAAAAAAAATCCCAATGTAGACATATCAGCGGTGAAACAAGGTGAAACGAATCGTTGAAGCGGCTCCAGAGCCGCTTCAACGATTCCGGGTGATTCACGATTCCGCACGATTCTGACGCTCGAAAATCGACGTCAGAATCGCCGTCCGAATCGGTGCATGAATCGCCAAGTTTGACTTCCTCTATTGTATTTGAACGAGAACCAACTTCTGCTCATGAACCCGCTTGTGCCCTCAAGTGGAAGGAATCATCACTCTTCATGATTCACCACAATACTACTGAGAAGTTCATTGAGATGGTAGATGCCATACAGAGCAAGGGTGATTATATGGTTTGCCAGATCTGAAAGGATCTTGTCGTGGAATTACAAGCATATCTCGCACAACTGGATCACATCAGGAAAAAGGGTCTATGCCATAACAGGTTATTTGTAGCCATTATGGCCATTATGACAGTTATGACAATTATGACAATCATAAAACACTTCATACAAATCTCCAAGAACAGATATTGATGAAGGGTGTACTATGTGATCCTTACCATTGCAATCCTAAACCAAATAAGCAAAAATGCGAAAATCTCACATGGTCAAAGTGCTTTCTTGAACCATCCACTTTTGAGTATTTTGCTTATAACTCACTAGGATCTTAACCTATTGATGTCATAAGACCATGGATAGACTTTCCTTGACATGGCTACAACTTTGATTTTCATCGGAAAAGTTCCCACGGTCAAGGTGCTTTCTTGAACCATCCATTTTCGAGTATTTTCCTTATAACTCACTAAGATCTTGACCTATTGATATCATAAGACTATGGATAGACTTTCCTTGACAAGGGCTATAACTTTGATTTTTATCGGAAAATGTTCCCATGGTCAAGTAAGCAAAATGCGAAAATTCACTAAGTCATTCCAGGTGCCAGGTAACATAGCCTGCCGGAGTTACCCGGCACCACACTTCCAGCTGAGCGGTAGCCCAGTCTCCCATGTTCGTTTTTCTTCCTCCCATTGTCAACAACAAGCTCGCCACAGCTATCATACACTCACTTGTTGTTACTTTTGTTCTTTGCTATTATTAAACTCCTTTTCCATATTAATATGCACGAACACATCGGTCTTAACTTGCCTGGGTCTGCTAATACTCCACCTACACCTCCGGCCACCCAGAGCTCAGGTCCATCCACAGGTACATAGCTCTGCATCCATTCCGTCCTCCATGAGGCATCAGACCGCCTCCTCATCAGGAGTTGGATCCTCGAGAGCATCCACTCAAAGTGGCACAATTGTTCCTCAGCCTGCACCCCAGCAGCATCCAGCGCAGACTGCTATGCCTAATACCCCCAACCAGCAGGAAGTACAGCAGAATGCGCAGCAACAAGCTGTGCAGCCGCCAGCTCCTACTGTGCAGGAACAGCCTGCCCTTGCTCCAGTGGATGAAATCGTGGCACTACAAGCGAGGATCGCTGAGCTCGAGCGAGGGAATGCTCACGGCAACCACACACAGGCCAGAGCTGCCCCCCCTCATCAAGCCTTAGTTGCTGATCCTGCAGCGATCGATCGCATTCGAGTGAACTTAGCTGCTGCAAAAGATGAGCCCAAGAAGCCATCACTTCCTGCTCTTCGTCCCAGGCACAAAGTTAGTGCTCTAAGTTTGCGTAAGTAGTCTGCTCGTTTTCCTCGTATATCACTGGGTGGCTTTGTCCCACCCAGTGTCCATTTTACCGTCTGTAATACCCACTGTTTGGGGTTACTCGCTTCCATTTTGCGCCGCACAGTTCATTCGGGTGCCTACCGTTCAACATTTCACCGTTTGTTTCTACTGTCGTCGATCTGTCCCATCTGACCTGCTGCTCGTAGCGATTCCACCCAAAGTCGAGGACACTTTTAAGCTATACTGTTACGTGCCATACACCACCCTCACCCATGCTACTCATTCCAAAGCCTTCCTTCATGGAGAAGACTCATCCTTTGTATTCACTTCCGATGGGCTCACAGCCAAGGGCCTAGACTGTTCGAATGAACTTTTTATCTCCACTGTCAACTGGATTGCAGCAGCGAAAGCAGTGGAGGAAAGAACCTCGCACTATTGGGGTTCTGAGAGAGGAGCAGCACTGGTGTTGCATCACCTTGTTGTTCTTGACATCGGCCGCACTTATGGTTGGTCTATTGCAATGCACTATGATGTCCAACAACGTGAGCTAGCCCACATGAACCACGAGCACAACTTAGAGGGTCTTGACATAGCAGCCCTTACACTAGCCAATAACAAAGTTGCTTTCACTATGTCACCTATCCCACAGCCTGTGCCTGCAGCTAAGCGCTCCGCTCCTAGTGATTTCCCTACATCCCCTCGCAAGAAGCTTAATATGGCAGTTTCAAGTCAGTGTTTTCATTGTGGGATGTCCGGCCATTTACCTGCAGACTGCACGTCCGAAACCACAACTGCAGGCAAGCCCATCGCAGCCCTCGCCACTGGCACTAGAAGCAAACACGCCCTTGCCTCTCCCAGCAGAAAACATTTCTGTTTTAACTGGGCTAGTGGATCTAGCTGTTCCTTCGGACCAGCCTGCAAGAATGCCCATTTGTGCAGCCTCTGTGGAGACACCTCACATGGAGCTGCAGGTTGTCGGGTCCGTGGATGACCCTCGTGTAGTAATTACCCCCCTCAACTACGTGCGAGTGGAGGAGCTCCTCTGTAAATATGGTATATTCGATGACTGGCGCCACATAGTTTATGGTATACATGATGATTTTAATGTAGGCGTCTCAGAGCCACCTTCCAGAACTTATATATTTCGACAATCATTCCTCTTCACTCCTCAACCCCTCTATAATTGATGCTTACATCCTTGCTGAGCAGGCAGCTGGCAGGTACTCTGCAGGCTTCGCCCCTTTGGATTTGGAACTTTTAATCGGTCCTTTTCGTACATCGCTGCTTGGCCTCGTCCCAAAACCACACTCAAACAAATTTCATATCGTTCAGGACCTATCTTACCCCCACAATCTATCTGATGTACAGTCCATCAATGCTAGAATATGCGCAGACGATTTTCCAACAGTCTGGGGCACATTCAACGAAACTGCCACTCTGATCCTATCCTTACCTCCTGGCTGCGTTGCTGCAACCTTTGACATCTCATCTGCATACCGCATAATCCCCGTTTTGCCATCTCAGCAGAGCTCCCTCTGCATATTCTGGAATGGTATTGTTTACATCGATCAAGCGCTGATATTTGGCCTCACGTCCAGTGCCGGAGTTTTCAGGTCCGTTGTGGATATGTTAGTTGCAATCTACCACAAAGCTGGTTTCGAATTAATTCGAAAATGGGTAGATGATTTCCTCGTTGAAGGTACAACAATTCAGATGGTGAGTCTGAACAATGTTGGGTCTTGCAGAACCTAGCTGCTATTCGACCCTAAAGGGTTTCTGGACCAGGCTCAAGGCTCAGAGGAGAGGAAATATCATAAAAACTACTGAGGACTCTGACTCATACTGGTAACTGGTGAAAAGATTTATTGATTATGTAAGCTACAAAAGTGCCAACATAAGGTAAGGTAAAAACAGTCTCTACAAGCCCAGCCAGAAATGAATCCCTACATTGTCATCAGGCCACTGCATCTTACATGGACCGAGGAGGACTTCATAGCCCTGACAAGCTATTGCGGAGTTCCCTGGAGCCTCAAGAAACTCCACCATTTTGCAGCAATTTAAAGATATATTGGTTTCGACTGGGATCTAGAGCGCAAGCTTGTTTCGCTCCCAGAGGAGAAGCTCCACAAAATATTAGATTTACTCTCCTGTTGGCAGCTTGCCGGTGCTTCATTCACAGCCAAAGAGGCTGCTGGCCTTCATGGCAAGCTGGTGCACATAGCGTGCATCTTTCCCTTGATTCGTCCGTTCATACATTCAATTGCAGTCTTTGCAGGAGGTTTCTGTTCAGCACATGCCCACCTTTGTCCGTCTTTGGCAGTAGCAATGGACCTCTCATGGATACAGTCATTACTCTCACTGCTCCCAAACCGTGTCCCACTGGCCAACCCTTCCTCTGTAGACATAGGGTGGTGGGGCGACGCAAGTACCTCATTTGGAATAGGCATAGTTGTCCAAAACCACTGGGCTGTCTGGCGCTGGGCCCCAGGCTTCAAGGTTGGCCCTCGCTGTGCCTTCAATATTGGTTGGGCTGAGGCTGTAGCAGTCAAGCTCGGTCTTCGGGCTGCCTTGCACTTGAGTATTGTCTCCTATTCTACTTAGCTAGTATACATTCTGTCTAACATATTAAACAAGGCATCATCTCTGAGAGCACCCTGTCGAACCTCAGCTATATTGTCCACTCAGACAATGCTGGTGTGGTTGCTGTGACCAACAAAGGATGCTCTCGCAGCTCCAAAACGAATGCTGTGCTGAAGCACATTTACAGGCTTCAAGCAATGTGCTGCATGCAGCTGCATGCAATGTATGTGTCAACGCATTGCAACATTGCAGACACTCTTTTGAGAGGAGACATTCAGGCCTTCAAAGCAAGTTTTCCTGAAGCAGCAGACCCAATTTCCTTCCCACTCCCTCCCCACCTCTTGGGCAAGCTAGTACCATACTCGTTTTAGCGTCACATATACCATACCCCTTGCTTCATTCGTCAATCTCTCCCCCCACCTCACTGCAGATCATCCCTTCACCACTTCGCCCTCCTTGCAAAGCCTCAGACCGAATTTTTTTCCTTTGGCGAGGTGTGAACTCAGCTCCTCCATCTACCATCAGCAACCTGGTGATTCAGCACATTGCCAGCATGGCCAGCATGGCCAGCAGAGCCTCCCTCCGCGATACTGCAGGCTATGGCGCTGGTCTCCATAAATTTCACCTATTCTGCGACATATTTTCCATACCTGAGCCAGACAGGCTGCCTGCCTCCTTCGAGCTACTCCACTCCTTTGTATTATGGGCAGTCACTGACCCGGAGCCAGGCGACTCATTGCTTTCAGTCACTGGTCAAACCCCATTCGAGCCAATCTCTGTCAATGTCGCTCGAAAATACCTTTCAGCAGTTCGAGCCTGGCACATAGCCCAAGGTTGGCTTCCCCCATTGTCCGACGCACACCATGAGCACATTAACTGGTCCTTGCATGGACTCAAGAACCTGCAGAGTGGCCATTGGAAGCCACTGTGCCCCCCCATCACTCTGCCAATGCTCACTGCACTCAAAGCAACTCTGTCCTTATCTGATCCCTTTGATGCATGTGTGTGGGCAATGGCCTCATGTGCCTTTTTCGGCATGATGCACTTCAGCAAAGTTTCAGTTGCATCACGAGTAGCCTTTTCCCCCTCTAAGCACCTTACCAGAGCAGATGCCTTCTTTGGTAGAGACCTCCGAAACAGTCCCTACGCACGCTTAGACCTCCCATCAGTGAAAACGGCTTGAGCCGGTGTAGAAACAACAATACTGAGAGGAACAAAGAAATGCTCCTGACTGTATCTAAAAAGTTGTAGGTCGTGCATTGCCTAGTCTGCGATACTTGAGATGGCAAGTGCATTCGACCCTAAAGGGGAAGCAGGTGCAGCGGAGATCTAGAGGTACGCGCTTCAGCGAAGCGCGAGAAAGCGCAGGTGCGCGCAAGGTACGAAGGCGCGGGAATGCGCGCGCGTATTAGCGCGAAGCGCGGGAAAGCGCGCGCGTGTAAGCGGAAATAAGAGAGACTAAACTTATGTGAAGATATAAGCAAGATAAAGGATGTGAGATGTGTTGTGCTAATGAATAGATTTCTACTGCGACTTTCTAAGTAGTAAGTACTAGGTAAAATTGGGTGAAAAGTAAGGTAAATAATAGTATGTACTGCTGGTGCTTATATAGCGCGCCTAAGCGCGCTCATGCGGAGCCGAAGCGCTACCGAGTAGGTATGTAAATATATATATGAGTGAGAAACTATGATAAAAATAAAGGTGGAACTATGCTAATAAAGGAAATGGAAATATATGCACTAGGGAGCTTGGTGGACAGTGGATGGATGCATCTGGATGGCTGGCGCTATAGGGCGCGCAAGCGCGGGAACGCGCGCGCGCGTATACATCGTGAAGCGCGGGAATGGTGCGCGCATGGCGCGCGTTGCGCGGGAAAGCTGCGCGTCATATAGGAATCACTGTGGATGGTACACAGAGTGATGCTGCGAGTTGGTGCTGTATACTCCCTAGTGTAAAGCGCCATATCACACTATGAGATGCACGAGTCTCTACACCGGCGAAACCCAATCAGTCTTCCTCAATGAGCAAGGGGACCTCTGTCCCCTTGCTGCCCTGCACAACCTCACACAACCTCGCACAGGTAGTTCCCGCATCCGCTGGTGATCCCCTTTTTTCGTGGTGTGATGCCAAAGGTGATATCCGCCCAATGGCCAAAATTTGCGCCATGGAGCGGATAAACTCAATCCTAATCGAATGGGGCTGGGGTATATTCTTTGGCCACTCCTTTCGCATAGGCGATGCATCATTCGACCTGGCAAAGAAGGTCGACCCCGAAATAGTTTGAATCACAGGCCATTGGAAATCATTAGCCTACGAGATGTACATTCGCGCATTCGAGCAGATCTCATCACAACACCTGGCCAATGCCTCATCTCTATAGTGGTGCCTCCACCTTCTTGTTGGGCTGAGCAGCTGAAGCCGCAGGGTTTTGGCATATAGGGTGAGCAGCTCCACCTGCTTGCATCTCACCCCCGAGCTAACACTCGGTCCAGCCCAACATCACAGATTGTAGCATTGACTCTAGAGCCAGATGAAGCTGGATTGTGATGTGGCTTTGTTTGGCACAGCTTATATAAGCAAAAGTGTGGTCAACCACAAGTCTTTTCCTATCTTTTCCTTCCTTTCCCTCCTCATTCTCCTTCTACTTGATAATTTTCGCATTTTTGAGTATTTGGTAAGTCTTTTCTTCTTCTTTTCCTTGCCTCTCTGACCCTCTCCTTCTAGCTCCTTCTTTTTTCCCTCCTCCTCCTCCTCTCACCACTCAATAATTTCGCATTTTTGGGCATTTGGTAAGTCTTTCTCTCTTCTTCCTCTTCCCTCTCTGACCCTCTCCTTCTAGCTCCTTCTTCCTTCCCTCCTCCCACCACTCAATAATTTTCGCATTTTGGGCATTTGGTAAGTCTTTCTCTCTTCTTCCTCTTTCCTCTCTGACACCCCTTCTTCTAGCTCCTCATTTTCGCACTTTTGAGTATTTGGTGAGTCTCCTCCTCCTCCTCTTCCCTCCCTTCCTCCTCCTCCCACTCAACCATTTTTGCACTTTTGAGTATTTGGTGAGTCTCCTCCTTCTCTTCTTCCCTCTCTGACACCCCTTCTAGCTCCTCCTTCCCTCCCTTTTCCTCTCACTCAACCATTTTTGCATTTTTGAGTATTTGGTGAGTCTTTTTCTCTTCTTCTTCTTTCCTCTCTGACACTCCTTCTAGCTCCTTATTTTCGCATTTTTGACTATTTGGTAAGTCTTTTTCTCTTCTTCTTCTTCTTCTTCTTCTTCCCTCTCTGACCCTTTTTCTGCTCTTGTTCCTCCCTTCATTTTCACATTTTTGCCTCCCTCTCTTATATATGTAGTTAGTAGTGTATATTCATTGTATTAGATACTTGAAATATAACTTGATTTCGCATTTTTGGTGTTCTGTGATTTAGAATGACTAGCATGACAAGGTTTTGAAAAAAATTTGACCCCTCCATAATGGCCATGATGATCCATAATGACAAAAAATGAAAAAGTTAGGTCTATAATTGCTATTAAGATTGGCACCTTGTCATTCTAGCCATAACTGTCATTTTGGCATATATAGCTATAATGGACCATTTTGGATCATAATACAGTACTTTCTTCCATAATTGCAGAGTACACATTTTCTGATGCAGCTTGTTGTGGACCGATGGAAAAGGCTCAAGTTGGAGTGAGGACTGCTTGCTTATGGCATTCCTCAGGTTGAAATGGAGAACATGAACTCGAAGTTCATCCATCTGACATTCACCAGCTCTGACTTACCTCAGCGCACCACTTTGAGACCTGGGAGAAGCTGAAGATTGTTATCCCTCCTTTTCTTGCCTGCATTACGACAGCTATTATTCTGCATGAACTCTCGAATCTTTCCTGGGAACCTACCAACTTTCTCTTGTCCGCCTTGCGAGTTGTTGTCATGTCAAGTTGTTGTTATATCATGCAAACATGCAGTGCAAAGTACAGCAGGCACTCCATCCAAACCAAGGTCTTGGAGATTCTCGAAGTTGACAAATGGCCCAATGATATCCAGACAGCAAGCCAGGCTATCAGCCTGGAACCCAACCTCCAAATTTATGCTTGCTGCATTAGGTATTGTGCGCTATACCCTCAAGGCCAGGATGGCCGTTATCCTGACCATTGCAGTCACCATGAAACAATAGGGAGCCAACTGTGCGGTGCACCTCTCACAGAAGTGTCACAGGCGGTTGGCATCCCAGAAGCTCTCAAGACATTCAGTTACCAATCCATAAAGGCTTGGCTAGGCTGTATAATATTGTGCCCTGGAATAAAGAAGGTTATGGCAGAGACTACATCGCGAAAACAGCAGGCAATCTTTTCCCACATATGAAACCTCTGGGCTCCAGGGACCATCAAAGATATTTGGAACACCAAAGTGTTTTATTCATTCAAGGGCCCTTATGGTCAACCCTGGCTCGATGCACCTCCAGGTGAAGTACGCCTTATCTTCAGTTTGTTTGTTGATTGGTTCAACTCTTTTGGCAACAAAACTGCTGGTAAGAGTGCGTCAGTTGGCACCATATACATGGTGTGCATGAACCTCCCAATTCATCTGTGATATTGTGTAGAGAATATTTACTTAGTGGGCATCATTCCCAGACCACAAGAGCCCAGCATCCATCAAGTTAACCATTTCCTCCACCCACTCATCAATGAGCTCTTACTGTTTTGGCATACTGGGATTTTTTTCATGGATGGCTGATTACCTGTATGGAAGATTGATCTGAGTCATCATTATTCCACTTATCTGTGATATTCCAGCCCTTCACAAGATTGCAGGGTTTGCGCACTTCAGTAGTGTAGAAGGCAGATGTTCTTATTGTTTACTTTCTAAAGACGAGCTTGGTAATTTTGATGTCGGGTCTTTCAAATGGCATACCTGGCAGGAACATGCACTATGAGCTCTTGAATGGCTTTGTGTGCCCACAGAGATGGCCCATGAGAAGCATTGGGAAGTTCACCAGATCCAATGGTCTGAGCTTCTGTGTCTTCCTTATTGGAATCCTGTTCAGTTTCCAATTATCAATACTATGCACAACCTCTTCCAGAATGATCTACCACACCATTGTCGAGTTGTGCTTGGGATAACAGACAAGAGCGGCAAATCCCCTTTTGAAGTGCACGACACTGTAAAACAAGGTGTGGAGTTACAGCATGGAATTGATGCAATCAGGGACCTTTTCTTTACTGCTCTCAATCGCCTCCGGCGTAGTTATGTTGTTGCATTTGTGGTTGCAAATAATATTGAAACATTTGCTGCTGACAGGAAGACAAGAGATACTATTAAAAAGGCATATGTGAAAGTGATTATTGATTGGGTAAGTCCAGCATTGCATACACCATTATGGGCACTAACAGGTATCAATAGTTCTGATAGAATCCTGGCATGGTATTGAGAGTCCCTCATGTTTACCCTGGATCTGTCCTTGACCTTGAGATGTGTTAGTAAACGGAGTTCCAAAGCTTCCATTGCTTGCTAAAGAAGTTATGGAGCAGGTCTGGTTGGATATGGTCCAAACAATTGTGCCATCATAGATGAGTTGTGTGCCCAAGAATCTAGGTAGCCCTTCTCATGGCAAGCTGAAGGCTGACCAATGGTGAACCACTTGTACAGTAAATTTGGTAATCATGCTTATACACCTGTGGGGACAGCATGACTACAGTGATGAGCACAAGGATGTTCTCCAGGGCTTCATTTCATTGGTCATCACGGTGTGCTGGGCATCTCGGAGATCCAGTTCTCTAGACCATATTGATATTGTGCAGTCCTAGCTTGACTACTACTTAAAATCACTTGTTTTTTTGTTTGGAAAGGGTGTTCTGATTCCAAACCATCACCTTTCATTGCAGAGTGCTTGTGTGTCTTTGGTCCAGTGCACGGATGGTGGTCATTTCCTTTTGAATAGTACAATGGTATCATACAATGAAAGAATACTAATAACAAATTAGGTTTGTACTATCTAATAATACATGTCCTTAGGCTCACAGCCTCTGAACGAGGTGAATTGGAATTGACTTTCATGTGGTCTTTCTGCCATTCCAGAAACCTTAAGGCTCTCCTGTCTCTCGAAGGCCTTTTATCAGAAATGTTGGAGGAGCTGTGAGATATCATGGGAGAGCACTATGGGACTGAGTTTTATGGGGCTTTGCAGAATGACTTACAGGCTCATCATTGACGGAAGCACCATTGTCTGACAGATCCTTTACTGATCTTTCTGAAGAGATTTACATCACCCGACTTCACATGGACAATGGTCATCAAAACTTCCACCCCCACCAAGAACTTTCTGAGTCTTTGAATAGTATTTCTGTCAATCCTTGCACACAATATCAAGAGCAGCTAGATCATGATGGTGTCATATACCGCACAACAAAGCCTCAATCAAAGAAAGATGCAGCTGTTATTTTTCATCTCCCTGGTATGGGCAACTTTAAGGCTGGCTTGATCTCAAAGATTTTTGTTCATTTGTGTCCTGATCCCACCAACAGAACCACCATGTTCAAACCCTTCCTTTTGGTAAACTCATATAAAGAGCTCACCAATGCAGAGGTCCCTTTTGACCCTTATCAATGGTTTCTGATGCTTGAAGCATGCCTCATCAAGGATGAAGTAAAACTGTTTGTTGTCATATCCCATATTCCGGACCTACATCTGATAATATTCCCACGCCTCATCCAGACCTTCGGATATCCTATCCATGTCTGCAGTCCTCTATCCATCCGGATCCCTGCACCTCCGCACATCCACATCCAGATCCCTTTACCTTCGCAGCTAGCCTGCATTGTTCACCCTTGTCCCATTGCCCTAATATTATATCTTGCATATCCACGCATCTCATCCGGACCACATCCGATCCGGTCCGATCCGATCCTATCCGATATATAGATACATTTCCTATCCGATATACGATAAGCTTCTTGATTTATTTCCTGTGCATATAACGTTAACACAGCCTATCCGGTATTCCTTGTTACCAGTACCTCGGTTATATCTATTACCAGTATGCTTACTGATCTGTTAACCTATGTTCATTTCCGACTCGCATTTGTCAACCTTTGCATATGCTTCGTACATAGCCTCGGACTCTGCTTATTGATCCTTCCGTTATTTCTCTTAGTATATAAACTCGTGTATATGTCTTGTAGTACCTCAGTCTGAATATCATATTAGTCCTCGCACTAGTCTTCACTCTAAGTCCTCATATCAGTTCTAGTCTTCCAACTTAGTTGTTATCCATCTCAGACCTAGGGAGTTTCTCCCTAGGCCGGAGCTCTGCTTATCCGATACTCCACTCATCCGCTCATCTGATCCTCCGTAGTTTCCAGAAGTTCATCCGGATCTTTCCCGCGGTCCTCCGGACCTATTCTGCTTCGGACTTTGTCCTTGCAGCCCTTCCTCTGTTTACTTCTACTCAGGACAAGTCCCGAGTAGCCATTATACATATCCGTATCAGGACGAAACCTCATCGTAATTTCCGGAAGTTCCTCTGGAACTTTCCTGCACTCATCCGGAAGTTACTTGCACCCGTCCGGAAAGTCTTTCCGAAGTTTCCCGCGCCTTCGGACATCTTCGGACATCTTCGGACTTTCCTCGGACACCAATCTGAAATTAAGGGCACATACTCGGGTAAGGGGCGCAGCGCACGAGCTGAAGCCAAGCCCCTCAGAATCAGTCCTACCCTTTGTGCATGGTCTTAACATTTGTTATCAAAGCTTCAGACATCATTAGCCATTGCGCCACTTATGCTTACCAGCATCCTAATCTGAGCAATGGACAATATTTGGTCATTATATCCTTGAACAGGGTGTGTACAAATCTAGTGATGATGACATTATACTCATGATACGCAGGATTAATGGCTTTTATTAGAATACACAAAACAATGTTGAGTAATTAGCAAGTGGGTATAGACTCAGATAATGTTGCCATAACCGGCCAAAGCTTTGTTTGATGTTGCCTTTGTGCAATGTGCTGCTCTGATTAGTATTTAGTAGTACAGAATCGAATACACGTCATTTTCTATCACTTAGCATCCATGCCTAAGGCTGAGCTTCAGACAACCCCACAGCCTGCCCAACAAACTAGAGTGCCTTATCAGAAACCAATTAGAATATTTGCTACTGACATAAGTTCTTTTACATACTGAGTGCACGACATGGGCTGAGTTAAGAACAACTTAAAGGTGGTGCCTGTTCACATGACACGCTTTCCCCTCAAAAAGCAACTTTGTTATTCAGGTGAAGAGATTGTTCAGTTTACCAAATCTTTGGATGTACGTCTGCTTCTGAATAACTCACTACAATACATTGAGCGCAATGCAGGTCATCCCCATACATCGTCAAAATTTTCCTCTCTGTTGTGACTCTACAGTTGAGCTTCAAGTTATAAGGTGAGCTTCAACCTTCTTCAACCAAGCATTTTGCTTGATGAACGCATGGTAGGCAGAGATCCAAGCTCCCGATTACTTGCACACCCTTGCCCTGTATTTCTACTAGTACTCCAACACCTCGTGCATGACTCCTTCACAGGGCATTTGCATCTGCCTGAAATTTGCATGTTCAAGTCAATCGTCAAAGGACATGCACTGTCCCTCCTACTGGCCTACCTGCTCCAACTCCTACCAGTGAGGCTACTCAATTTCCACTGCAGCGTGAATGAAAGATTCATAACCTGGATCTCATAATTTCTGGTTTGTTTCTGATGGTCCAGAGCCTATCAACAAACTGTTATGCCCGGTGTAGGGATTCATTTCTGGCTGGGCTGGTAGAGACTGTTTTTACCTTACCTTATGTTGGCACTTTTGTAGCTTACATAATGAAGTTATCTTTTCACCAGTTACCAGTATGAGTCAGAGTACTTAGCAAGTTTTCATGATACTTTCTCTCCTCTGAGCCTTGAGCCTGGTCCAGAAACCCTTTAGGGTTGAATACTAGCAGCTAGGTTCTGCAAAACCCAACATTGTTCAGACTTACCATCTGAATTGTTGTACCTTCACTGGGTCTCCTATTCACAGATTTGTATCTTCACCTTCATGGAGCATTGGAAGTACAGATATGGATCTGGAATGGCAATGGCATATGGGAGACAATCGAACAAGGTTATGTTCATCCTCAATTACCTGACCGCCGACTCTGGCTGCCATCATGTGATGAGCCCAGTTAGATCACCTGTAAAATGGCTAGCACTTATAAGGGTAGGCAACTGAAGGACTTATGATATTAGTTGGACCAAAATCGAGATTGTGTAGTAGAATCTGACATTGCTGAAGTGAGTCTGTTTGCCAAGGATGTTGAATCACTATCTGGAGTTATTGAGTTTTCACTGTTTCTTGTTCTATGATGACAATTATAATTTCCAAGCTGTCGTTAGTTATGATTATAAGTAGATTGTATTGCAAGCAATTGTATACAATACTTATCACCATCTTATATTCCCAGTAGATGGTAGATGACACAGTGTCAATGCCAGCGTGTAGCATGGTGGTATCAATGTCAGTGTGCACTGGTGCTGGTGCTGATAGGGTTCTCTGCTATCATGGCAGGTGAGCAAAGATGTCCCTTTGTATCATATCCTGCTAAATATAGTAATCAAGTTAAAATATGTGCCAATGATCAGTCATAGGTAATTTTGTAACATGTTATTGATTTGTTCCAGCGATGTTCCAACAACACCCAATTCACATTGTATAAATTTAGCACGCAAAAGTGGTGCACTCCTTGGTGTATTCAAGTTGAAAAGTAGGGCAACAATTCTCCATGTTGAATGCTGCCACAAATTTTAAACATCAGTTGAGTGAAAGTTGTAATAATTAAGAAAATAGATACATTTATCATCCTATGGTAAATTTGGAACAAATTCAATGATACAGCCCTATTTGTGCAACATTGATTTAAATATATAGTATGACCTTTGTACATCCAATGGTTACACTGAGTGCCATGATTAAATAGTAAACTTTCACTATTTATGGGACAGCAGCATTCCCTTAAAATTTTCAACATGTGATCCATTAATCACCCTGCCTGATTCTAAACTTGTTTTTTACATTTCAATTCCAATTCAACTCACTAAGAGCTAGCACATTTTCCTTGCTGCCTGTTGTGAAAGACATTTAACTGACAGCAAGATCTGAAGAAAAATGATTGAACATTTGAATTCAAATCTTACATGGGGTGAGATTTGAGGAAAATTTGGATAAAACACATTTTACCTGTTGGAAAGGAAATTTACCCCAATATAAGATTTATATCAATCAATCATTTTTCTTCAGATCTTGCTGTTGGTTAAATGTCTTTCTTTTACAATAGTGGCGTTCAAAGTAATTTCCTGAAAACTCGGTAAGCTTGGTAAGCTCCATGAAATGTCGGCAAACTTCGATTAAGAATTCAAAGAAATGTCGACATAAGTGTGGCTTAGGTCGGCATCACAGTTGGACTTCAAAACGAGACTTAGTGGTAAAAAATGTGGTCAAAACATCATGATGAAATAGCAATAGTTATATACATGTAATGTACACAAAGCTATTCGACGTGATAAGGGTGCAAGACAAAAGGTGCGAGGCAAAGGGCGCAGGATGAAGGTGTGAGACAAAGGGACAGGACGAAGGTGCAGGACGAAGGTGAGAAGTGGATTAAGGCTTGTTGCGGTAGCGGAAGCAGGCACTGTCGCAGTTGCAGTATGTTTCGCGCTCGCAGCAAGCAGAGTGCTTGAGAGCAGATGCTGAGGGAGCAGCAGACGAGGGACTCTTCATGCTCCCAGAAGCACGCCGTCCAGCTTTACCAGTCTTCTTAGTGGCAGACGTTTGTACAGTTAGTACGGGACGGTTTGTGGGCGTCTTGCTGGAACAGTCCTTGCCACAAGTACGCAGGTGTGATTGAGCATGATATGAGAGTGAGAAGAAACTTGCGGGACCAGGAACAGATCAGGAGTAGATGGCTGTGGTTGCTGCTGCTGACGAGAATTGCTCATGAGAACGTCTTGTTCAGCAGAAGCAGACCCGCCAAGGAGGGACTCGCCCTCAGGTTGGGTGGGGACATTATTACTGTTGCTGTTGCCATCCTCGTTCGTATCGTCTAGTTGCTCGATGGGGGTGTCAGCCATTTGGTCGTCTTCGCCGTCGTACTCCTCACCTAAAAGTTCATCTAGGGGAAGTTTGATAGTGGGATGGTAAATTCTAAAACCAGTTGCGCAGCCCCCACTAACGCCTTCCCAGTAGCTCATGGGGTTAGATAAGGTGGGGGTAGAGTAGAGTAGAGCAGTTGGGCCAAACGAAGTACTAAAGATGGGAGGGAAGTGGAGTTTTTCTTACAAGGGGTGCAGGATGAAGGTGTGGGGCGCAAACGATGGCGTGCGATGAGGGTGCGCTGCGAGGGTGCGAGATGAAGGTGCAGGCAGTGGATGTCAGGCATGTAGAGCGTTGTCGCTGTGCTCGTCATCGAGCAGAAGAGCTGCCAACTAAAATTGAATCTCCGCTTGAAAATGTTGCCATTTCCGGCAACAGTGTCCCCTATTAATGCAGGTGATAAGCTTATCTCTCTCCTGATCCCCAGATGCCTCGTCTCTCTATGCGCAATCAGCTGCTTGAGCAACTGGATGAGGCTGAACTAGCCTTAGCCAAGGCCAGGCTAGAGCGTACTCTCATTACTCTTAATGATCTCTATGATTCCGACTCCTCTGACTCTGAATCTGAATCTGATTCTGATTCTGATCTTGGCCTTGATCTGATGGTCACTCCTCCATCTCCTCTTACCCCACAATTATCCGACCTTTCAGATTCTTCTTCCAGTGATGGATCTGACGGCTTCACTACCCATTACAACCGCCTTCATGATACCATCACAGCTCTTCGCGATGAGGTCACTAGGGCCCGTGTTCTTCATAAACTGGATGCACCTCCTATGTGAGCCCCCCAGATTCAGCTCCTTCATGACTTTGGGCACTCTCGGCACCACCTCTTCTGCAAGAAATTATGCATTAATCCTGACATCTTCGACGATATCCTCGATCAAATTTCTGATCACCCTATTTTCACTAACCGGTCAAACAACCCTCAACTTCCCATTGCCATTCAACTGGCTATATTTCTCAACCGTGCTGGCCATTATGGCAATGCTATCTCACCAGATGATGTGGGCCAATGGGCTGGTGTGAGTGTTGGATTGGTAATCAATTGCAGTAACCGTGTGATGATTGCCCTCCTTGATCAGCATGACACATTCATCAATTTCCCTGCTCCTGACTCTGAGGATGCTGAGCGTGCTCGGCAATATGTTGAGGCCAAGTCTTGCCCAGAGTGGAGAAATGGTATTTTTGCAATTGATGGCTCCACTATTAATTTGTATGAAAAACCTGGTCTTTATGGTGAGGCATTTTATGACAGGAAGTCTAACTATTCCCTCAACTGTCACGTATTTTTCTCTCTTATTCTAATGGTTAGAAACTAATGAAAAATTCAGGCAATCATTATGCCCCATAATCTCCTCATTGCCGACTATTCACTTGGTCACCCTGGAAGTACACACGATGCTTATGCCTTCAAATCTACTCGTGTTTACCAGGAACACGACACACTTCTTCCTGATGACCATTGGATTTGGGCTGATAGTGCATATCCACTTGAGAAGTGGTGTATTCCACCTTTCAAGAAGCCTCGGAATGGCAGGTTGACAAGGGACCAGAAGATCTTCAATATTCACCT